ATTATATATATATTAGGAGTAGATGATAGGGAATCCCCTAGATTCCCTATTATCTACTCCTGGTATATATGTATCTGTAATATGCCTGAGACCGTAGTCTTGCGATATGGTTGAACCGAATGCGACTGGACATGTGTCGTTGGCACTTGGCGTTGTTCTATGGCTGGACCTACATCGCGATTACGCTGTTTCTAATGGAAATGCGAAATCATTGCTTTAAGAATAAGCGATTATTTAGATTAAACTTATTTGGGTCATTTACTTCGGACACGTGAACGGAGAGGATAACAGATTTAAAGATATAGTGTGTAGCAGTTAGTTCATAGCTAGGTATGTGCAGGCAATATAGCCACGAGCTAGATATTATATACACAATCACATGTTGATACGGCCTGACTATAACAGTGCAGTATCGTGAATAATAAATACCTATTCATTAGCTCTTGATATATAAAATATATATATATATATACCTGTAATATGCCTGAGACCGTAGTCTTGCGATATGGTTGGACCGAATTCGACTGGACATGTGTCGGTGGCACTTGGCGTTGTTCTATGGCTGGACCTACATCGCGATTACGCTGTTTCTAATGGAAATGCGAAATCATTGCTTTAAGAATAAGCGATTATTTAGATTAAACTTATGTGGGTCATTTACTGCGGACACGTGAACGGCGAGGATAACAGATTTAAAGATAGTGTGTATAGGTGTGTATAGCAGTTAGTTCATAGGTGTGTGCAGGCAATATAGCCACGAGCTAGAGATTATAATTATACACAATCACATGTTGATACGGCCTGACTAACAGTGCAGTATCGTGAACGTATGAATATAGATGTCGGAACAGCTATTTAAATAGAATTGGCACTTCACTCTATTTGAGTTGAATGTGAAAGTTTGATAATCTTTTGCGTTTCCGATGACTGGCAGGTTCGCCTCATCAGCATGTATGTATGCACACACTCTGGGCACATTATTTCTTATTTATTAGTGGTTGTAAATTCCTCATAAACCATCGCGAGAAGGATGTGCCATTCGAGTCGCAGTGACGGTTTGATGTAGGGCTATTGATGTCAAGTACATAGTTCTACATTTACCTCGTAGTACACAACTCGTTAAGCATACTCATACTACTTTAGTGGATTTATTAATGCCGGTTATTCAGGGGCTGTAACACAGTGCAACTTACATATATGATTGGTTAACGATACAGGTGTGCGAACGCGTATACTATACGTTTTGTATACTGAACGTATTTTTCATGTATAGTAGGTAGATTGGTTAACGATACAGGTGTATATGTGTTTTGTATATTGAACGTAATATTCTTCTACGTGTGCAGGAGCCGAGAGCGTCCACCTACCCCGTTGACTACTACGTGTCAGAACTACAGCGATACGTGCAGTCGACGCAGAGCCCCGGAAGCGACTCCGGAACCGGAAGCTTTGAAGAGGAGAGTATTCACCAGGGCGCGCTACTGTCTACCCTATTGCGCAAACTGACAACGGACCTAAAAATGGCATATTCCAGGTGAGATGTGCACTCTACTACTCGGTGTGTTTCTACTACGTACCTTCCGTCCCTCCTCCTCTTTCTCTCTCTCCGGCGGGGTCTAGATAGATAGATAGTTGAATAGATAGATAGATATATAGATGCTCTCTAGTTTCAGACGTATGTTTTCCCGCCATTTTCCGCAACATACATACATCGGCTATGCTGTTTTTCACCGTATTGACACGCATGCGCATATTTGACTATGGAATATACGCTGGCAGTCATACACCTGTATCTGGCAGATGTTAGCGCTGAATCCAGCTAGCTAGAATTTTAACCGACGTATGCTAATTTCTGGTGGCATTATGTAAGCAGACGATAATGATGTTTCCGGTCAGAGCGGTCGGCTGACTGATTAAATTTGACAGTAGCGTGTACGCGCGCGTGTCTTTGTGTGTGAGAGCATGCGTACGTGCATGCGTACGGGTGTATACAAACGCGCGTGCGTGTGTTTGTGTTTATGGCACAGCAGGTCGAAATGTGCATACTTATTTCCAAAGTGTTCACCTGCTAGCATTTTCGCAGTCCCCTATAGGACCATCATGCAGCCGTGATACGAAAAGAGGTCTTAGGAACGTTGAGTTTCAGTAAGTGCCACTTATGAGTTTACATATCTGCGTTTGACATTTATCAGCTAAAACTGGATGCTGTGTGTAAGAGCCGAGATGTGGGTTGGCTGATAAAGATGCTAGACGTAGATAATAAACTACTGCCCTAGAATGTATATAGGTACATATGTTATATCGCCGATATGAAGCCTGCTATGCACGGGGGGGGCACTTCCATTGTTAAAGGTAATGGGGACGTGCCGCTGGACAGGGTATTATTTTCCGAACATCATTATTGGCGAAGCTAGGATATATTTTCCGAACATCATTATTGGCACAGGGTTGTCTAGATACACACCCATCAAGCTGATATTGGCGTAATATTGGCAAAACAATATTGGGCCAATATCACCAGGCCGATATTGGACCAATATCTGCATATATTGACAGGAGGACAGGACATATAACCGAAGTGTGCAATATTGCAACTGGGTATACTTGTTAATGCAGTATATTGGGACAGGGTGTGTTTTAGGGCGCAACGCGGTTTGCGACAGGGTCAGGTTTTCAAGGTCCCCGAGGCACCCCCCTACCCAGTTCCGAGGCGTGTCTCTCCGGGCTGCTATGGTGGCGCACAGGTATATTAAATAACATTGGTGTTTATAACAGTTACTGTTAAAGTTATTTTATAGCTGTGGCGGGATCGAGGAAGATTACATAACGTGGGTTTTCCGATTGATTGATATATATACTATCATTGCATTTACATTTTCATGCGCTTAACAGACTCTTACCTGGCATGAATACTCCATGGCTTCTTGAGGGCGATGCGTGCACGCGTGTCATGAGAAACAAAACACTAGAACAGAGTCATATTTTTTTATTTTCGGAGACGCTCTCACAAACACCTGCCTGAAGGTTCTGGACTGTTATGTTTTCGATATTCTCTGAACTCGTGCTAGGCACCATGTAGTGCTACTGCGTGCCGCGAGTGAACATACGAGTCAAGGCGCAGCATCTATCCCGGGCTTTGGATGGAGTGATAATAAGCCTGTACTTAGTCAGCTGTTGCAGCCTTCCTTGATTCGCGAGGTTCTTATACTAACGTGCGTAATATCGTTAACGACAATGCTGCACATGGCGGGCTGCGCGTGAACCCCTGTAGTCCACCCGTCCGCTCTGTCATGACCAAATGACGCTTTGATTGCGATATATATCAAGAACTAATAATTACCTATTTATTAGCTCTTGATATATAAAAAAAAATTATATATATATGTATCTGTAATATGCCTGAGACCGTAGTCTTGCGATATGGTTGGACCGAATGCGACTGGACATGTGTCGGTGGCACTTGGCGTTGTTCTATGGCTGGACCTACATCGCGATTACGCTGTTTCTAATGGAAATGCGAAATCATTGCTTTAAGAATAAGCGATTATT